TCACACACACACATATATATATGTTTAATTTAACGCTGGGCTATATATCAGCAATCAATTAATAGAGCTAACCAATTGTCAATTATTTTTATTATTATTAGCAGGAAGATGAAGATAGCGAAGAAGATGATTGCGATGATTATTCCATGAAATCCTCTTTTTCAACTTCGTCATTAATGATCATTTCCTCAATAAATCAAGAATTAAAAGCCGAACATTTAACATCTTTATTATCTACAATATGGTGTTTGCTTAATCATTTAGCTAATAACAGTGATAGCAATGATAACAGGGGTAAAAATGATAAAAAAACAAAAATATTTCAAGCATTAATAAATTCTTTTGAAAGTTTCCATAACCAATCAACAATCAAAAGAATTTGTCTAGAATTCATCGCAAAGATTTTAATGGCAATTATTAATATAATTATTATGATGATTTTTTTATATTAATTATTAACTAATTTTTTTCTCCAATTTATTTATTATATAGATTCAAGATATTCCAGATTATAAAGGAACATTTCGTATTACTAAAAACTCATCTTTAAACCAAATAATTCATCTTTGGGCATTAAATTTACCAAAACTATTATGCGAATTGAGATTAAATAATCTTGAAATTACAAAGGTAAAAGATGTTTCTATCAAGTAGGGTATAACCCTTCCACAAGTATGAATTTTAATAAATGTTTTTTAATCATTGATCGTTTTAGAATATTCTTAGTATTTTGTGCGAGTTTGCTAAACGGGGAGGTAAAGGAATATTTAATGAAGATGTAAGTAAATAAGAAAAAGGATGACATGGAAACAATTTTATCATTATCATCATTACCATTACCATCATCATTAAATTTTCTAATTTTAAATTTTTATAAGATATTATTACAAATACAAACGGCATTTGTTCCGTTCTTGTACATAAATTCTCCGCCACTATCATCCAATTCATCATCATCAAATAATTATGGGCCATTTATATCATTGCCGGAATCACTTCAACGTAAAACAATTGAATTTATTTTTCATTGTTCAAAAATTTCCGATGAAATAATTTACTCTTTAGAACAAATATTTATTAAACATTGTAATAAAGATATTGTTAGTTTAGCGATTAGAAATTATGCAAATTGTTTATTGAAAAAAAGTTCAAAATTAAATTTTTTGATTAGTCAATTAGGAAAGTTAGTTATTTAATTAAATATATCTAAATATCCGTTTTCAAATATGTCTTTTTATTTTATTTTTTTTTTTCATAAATCGCAAGTGATAAAGCCATAGAGTGAGACTATTCTCGCTTAATCAACCCTCGCACCAAGTGAGTTAACATGATACTTGTGCTTATGAAAAAAAAGTTTTTTTAAAGACAAATTCTGATTATAATAATTGTTTTTCCGAAAAAAAAAAATAATGTTTGAAAACAAATCTTTGTATATACTCATTAAGAAAACATCCGATAAACAATCCCGATCCAAAGACAAGGAAGATGCATATTTTTCAGAGGGTAAGGAG